GTGAAGATATTGCAATTATCAATTTTTGGTAGAGGCTTTTAACTTCAACTTCTTGTTACTTGTCTGCAGTTGAACCCTCCGATGTCAGAGGCATTGAAAAGAATGCACATGCTTGCTGCAGATCCTGGAATTATTTCTGTCATGAACAAGGTATCATTGATGCATATTCTCACACTTGTATAAGCAGAATGTCCAGTATGCTGTGCATATGATTCCTTGGTATACTCTTGCGTCCCTGCTGGTAATTTATCTTTGCATTGTTCTTCTTAAAGCATCGTTGGCGTGTGGGAATCATGACCGAGATGGCCCCTATTGGTTATGTTGGCATAAGTCCCAAATGCATCCTCGGCTTCAATAAGGTAATCACACTCTAAACATCAGAATATATGATGAAATTAGTAGCAATAGTATTTTCTCTTTTCTTTTAATTTCTGATTGACACTTGGTTGCTGTTGCAGAACCACGGGGAGGAGATATCTCTGCGCCTTCGAACTGATGACCTTAAGGGTTTCAGGAAATATGAAAGTATCAAGAAAACTCTTTTGCATGAGCTTGTAAGCTATATATTTACCACATTTTCACTGTGTGCACATATTTTGTGTGGGTACATTATTTGTCTGCAGAAGCTTTGTGTGGTGTATGCATATGATTACATGATATGGTGTTATGGTTTTAGGGGCCTTATAGTTTTCTCATATTCATATCAGGCTCACATGGTATATTCTGAACATGATGCGAACTTCTATGCTCTGGATAAACAGGTAAAAAAAAATAATGGTGTTCATATGTGAGAGTGTGCATGTTTAGGCTTCCATGGTTGTTTCCACCTTAGTCTCCTTCATTTAATTTAATGCTATTTCTGTTTAGTTGAACCAAGAAGCTGAAAGTTTAGATTGGACGAGATCAAGAAGTCACACACTGAGTGGAGTGCAGTATTCAGAGCATTATGAAGAAAATTTCTATGTTGGAGGCAGAAGTAATTCTTCTCAGAAGCTTGGAGGAAATATGTCAGATCGGCTTCCAAGTGCTCGTACATCTTCAGTGGCTGCTGCTTATCAACGTCTAGCAACTGCTTCTCATGATAGTGTGTCTGAAGTACATGAAGAATCACACCCTGATGATTCCATCCCCCATATGCGAATAGAATCCAGCCATATGGATTTTGTGGGAAAAGGAAACTTAGAGATCAGAAGTTCACACAAAATTCAGTGGAAACCTGATATGGAGCCTGATCCTGATGACCAGTCTGGTAATCAGAACAATTTTGAGCCCAGTCCTGATGAATCTTCCTCACAATCTTTGGGAAGCGGGACCCTTTTTGGACAAGATTTCAGTGAGTCTATGATGTCTCAACCTGTGTCGCATTCGGTAAGTAACAGGAAGTTGGAAGGGACAGAGTCTCGTGAAGAACCAGATGCTGATTACATGGAAGCTTGCTTGAAGCATGATGTTGTAGCTGAACCTGAACCTTTTCACTCTCACGAGATAGAGATTTTGGAAAGCAGGATTCAGCCAAGGAATAATGTGGACGAACCTGATCCTGATGACTTGGATGCAAAACCAGATGATTTAGGATGTGGTTCTTATGGAAATATCATAAGACCTAACCATGATGATTCTTTGGTTAGTGAAACTATCAAATATGAAGCCCATCCAAGGAAGGTTCATAATGAACCTGATCCTGATGATTCTCAATCAAATGGAGTCATTCTGGCAGAGCCTGATCCTGATGATTCTCAATCAATTGGAATCATTCAGGCAGAGCCTGATCCTGATGATTCTCAATCAATTGGAATCATTCAGGCAGAGCCTGATCCTGATGATTCTCAATCAATTGGAATCATTCAGGCAGAGCCTGATCCTGATGATTCTCAATCAATTGGAATCATTCAGGCAGAGCCTGATCCTGATGATTCTCAATCAATTGGAATCATTCAGGCAGAGCCTGATCCTGATGATTCTCAATCAATTGGAATCATTCAGGCAGAGCCTGATCCTGATGATTCTCAATCAATTGGAATCATTCAGGCAGAGCCTGATCCTGATGATTCTCAATCAATTGGAATCATTCAGGCAGAGCCTGATCCTGATGATTCTCAATCAATTGGAATCATTCAGGCAGAGCCTGATCCTGATGATTCTCAATCAATTGGAATCATTCAGGCAGAGCCTGATCCTGATGATTCTCAATCAATTGGAATCATTCAGGCAGAGCCTGATCCTGATGATTCTCAATCAATTGGAATCATTCAGGCAGAGCCTGATCCTGATGATTCTCAATCAATTGGAATCATTCAGGCAGAGCCTGATCCTGATGATTCTCAATCAATTGGAATCATTCAGGCAGAGCCTGATCCTGATGATTCTCAACCACTTGGAATCATTCCGACAGAGCCTGATCCTGATGATAATTTGGTGCATCCACGGGAAATATCCAGAATGCAGATTGATGAACCTGATCCAGATGATGAAGAATTTCAAAGAATTCAAGACCCTGTGACAATTTTTTGTAAACGCTTACAGGAGAACATTGAGTTGCTGCAAGCTGAGGTTAATCCCACACAGGCTACCACAGTCCTCCAAACTCTCTTTAAGATAATTAGGTACAGTAATCTAATTTGACTTTTAGCTTATAGCCTTCCTCCATGCACATATAGAAGTTTTTCGATTGGTGTATATCACCAGCTGGTTTTATCTTTTATTTTTTACAACGAGCATGGGATGGGTCACATTTATATCCAGTCTCTTGCTTTGAAGCAACTTATAGAACTCAGGAATCCCCTACATATAAACTGCATTGTTATGTCAATCTGTTGTTGTACCTTTCTACATTGAGTTGTTCATCGTGGCTTATCCATATTCTTTGTAGGAATGTGCTCGAACACCCAGGTGAGATTAAATACAGAAGACTGCGCAAGGTACAACATTGTTACCCTGAATAATATGTCATTTTACCTTTAATATTGGAGTTTCCTCCTCGTTAAATGTTTCTCCTAATAGCTGACGGGTGATATATTGCAGGCTAACCCAGCAATCCAAAGGAATGTGGCAAACTACAAAGGTCTGAAACTTCTCTTACATCTGGATTTTATTTTTATTAATATGGTTTAAGGAGTATTTCCCATATTTAAATGGAACTCTGAGGGGTTGGATAATAATTATAGGAATATATCTGATAATTTTTCTGCTTGAAATTAAAGCTGTAGCTTCATGATGAAAAATGAACAACTTTTAACCTCCCCCTCGTTTTGTTGTGATTTTAGCTGCAATGGCTATCCTTTTCCTGCTTGGCTTCAATGAAAATGTTGTGGATGAAATTGGAAGACCAGAAACTTATCTAGTGTTGAAGCGGGATGATCCGGGCCTATTATGGCTTGCCAAGTCCTCCCTTGAGACATGTATTACTTTCTAGTCCTGGAAATATTAACATATGGAGTTCTACCTGAAGGCTACAATTGAAGCAAAAGGAGTCTGCTCTATTTCCCAGCCACATTTATTTATTATTAATTTAAGTTTTAATTTTATTAATTTTCTTTTAAATATATTATACTTAAATTTTATATTAAAGTTAATTATTTTTAACTTAATTAAATAATTTTTAATTAATGAAATTGACGGAAATGAGACATTAGACTTGATTTGTTAATAGCTGCAAGTGCAGTGACCACATGAGGCCGATTCTGATGAAAGGGCACGGGAGGCCCTTGACATTTTTGAGATACAACAGGGAGGGGGACCTCCTTTTCTCCTGCGGCAAGGATCATACACCAAATGTATGGTTCGGTGACAACGGCGAGCGCCTCGGCACCTATCGCGGCCACAACGGTGCCGTTTGGGCGTGCGATCTCTCAAGAGACTCCGCGCGCCTCATCACCTGTAGCGCGGATCAGACTGCCAAGCTGTGGAACGTTCAAACCGGTCAGCAGCTATTCACCTTTAATTTTGACTCTCCGGCGAGGGCGGTTGAATTCTCAGTGGGCGATTGTATTCAATTTTTACAGAATAATTGAATTCTGAGTCATTGGTGGTTTCAATATTTTCAGAGGTTGGTGAATCGGCTCTGATACTCAAAGGACCTCAGGGCAGAATTAACAGGGCTGTTTGGGGGCCTTTGAACAGAACCATCATAAGCGCCGGAGAAGACGCTGTTATTCGTATTTGGGACTCGGAGGTGACTATTGGCTTATAATGTTATTCAATGTGCATTGGAAATTCGGAAGCTTTTAGTTTATTGTCTTAAGTTTTGTTTTCCATTCTTTCCAATTTGCAGACTGGCAAACTACTAAAGGAGAACGATAAGGAAGTGGGTCACAAAAAGACGATTACATCACTTGCAAAATCTGTTGATGGTTCGCATTTCCTCACTGGCTCGCTAGATAAATCGGCCAAGGCACTGCGTCTCATAAACTCCGTCTTTTTGTTTCTATTGAGTTGTAGCTTCTGTATTTGTACTGATTTTGTGTTTTCTGCTGCAAAATTTTCAGCTTTGGGATATTAGACGCTTATCAAGACCTACGTGACTGAGCGTCCAGTCAATGCCGTTGCAATGTCTCCTCGTCTTGATCATGTATGTTATTGTAATCTCTTTTTTTCACTATTAGTTACTGATATTCGTAAAATTGTCATCGTTTTGTTTTCCTTTCCATTTGAGTCAATAAGTTCCCACGTATTAAGTTAATAGTGGGTTGAGTACAAATATGATTACATGCATTCTACCGGTCGCATACTCAATAATTTGCATGTTTAAATTTGATGAATGGATGATACTTACTAAAGATACGTTCCTTTATATCTCGTTTATGCACTGTTTTTCCTTGTTCATTATACAAGTCTTTTTCTTTTTCTCAAAACAAAATTCCTTATGTGCTGTCCAGGTGGTACTCGGTGGTGGTCAGGATGCATCAGCTGTCACCACAACTGATCATCGTGCTGGGAAATTCGAAGCCAAATTCTATGACGAGGTAAACCTTAATATTTTTGTTTATATTTTTTGTATAGGTTGTTGTCACTTCAGTACATCATTTTTTTTATCCCAATGACATGTATAGGTTCTTCAAGAAGAGATTGGAGGTGTTAAAGGGCATTTTGGACCTATAAATGCTTTGGCTTTCAATCCTGATGGAAAGAGGTACAGTTCAATCCCATAATTGGTATTGTTGGTTTCATGAATACGTAAGGAGCAAATTCTTCTTAATTAGAATTGGACTGCATTTTAAGTTTTCATTGTGATATATTTGTACATGAACAATTTGTTTAGCTCCAAAAAGTTATTTTAACTATAAAACCGAGATGAGATTTTGCATAACTTTTGTACATGCTATCCGGCATATGTACCTGGTTAAAAGTCTTTAAAAGGGTGCTAGAGTTTAATTTATGAGGTAGGTATGGCGGTATCAATGTTTCTCAACTGATAAGTGGGTTATTATCTGCCTGTTTGCATTGAGACAATTGTCATGGACAGCAATTTCATGTTTCTGTAATCAGAAGTATTTTAGCATTACTGTCCTTTTGTTTGTGTAATGATTTGTTTATTTTATTGTATTTTGTAACTGTCAGTTTCTCAAGTGGAGGTGAGGATGGTTACGTACGTCTACATCACTTTGACTCAGATTACTTCAACATCAAGATTTAGGTTACTTCAACATCAAGATTTAGGTTGCAGCATACTGTGATATCAATTCTCACTTTGACTCAGATTACTTCAACATCAAGATTTAGGTTACTTCAACATCAAGATTTAGGTTGCAGCATACTGTGATATCAATTCTCACTTACTTCAACATCAAGATTTAGGTTGCAGCATACTGTGATATCAATTCTCACTTTGACTCAGATTACTTCAACATCAAGATTTAGGTTGCAGTATACTTTGATATCAATTTTCACTTTGGAGCGTGCTGGAAAAGCTATTTCGCCCTTTCCCAAACCATCTGTTTCCAGCAATTATTTCTGTAGTTCTGGTATTGGGATTAGTTTTGGACCTGGTATTGGGATTAAACAACCACGTTCTGTATTTGCTTAAGAAGTACTATGTTACATTCTTTCATTTTCTATTCTCAGAGCATTTCCACCCATTTGCCATGGCAACCCAAGGGCAACCACCATTCACGTGAGATATGAGGAGAGTAATTTGTATAAAGTTTTGGTGCGGGAAGTGATTTATAAATATAAAAATATAAAAATTCTGAAATTTTTGGTGTTTTTTCAGATTTTTTTAATTTTTGTTGTTGTTGCGGACATCATCAATGATGTCACAACCCTAAGGCAACAGCTCAGGCTGTTTTTGCCTTAGGGCAGTTCAAGCAGTCAAACCCTTGTCATGGCAAGGGGGGGGGCTAGGGCTGACACTATTCACCTCAATAGTGTCTGCCCTTGCAAATAGTAAGTTGCACTTCAGCAGTTGCCCGGGCAAAGGGCAAGTATTATTCAATTTTTTGTTTTTTTTCACAAATTTGTTTACCTAAACAATTAATTTGAACAATATTTTCGAATAAAATATTCGGATAAGATTTTCAGTTTCAAATTTCAGATAAATTTTTGTTTCAAATTTCGGATAAATTTCAAAATTTAAATTTCATATAAATTTCATCTGAATTTCAAATTTTAGATAAATTTCATCTGAATTTCAAATTTTAGATAAATTTCATTTCAATTTCAACTTTTCATTTCAATTTCAAATTTCAGATAAATTTCATATGAATTTCAAATTTCGGATAAGATTTTCAACCTATAAAATTGCGCCACGTGTCATATGAATTTCAAATTTCAGATAAATTTCATTTGAATTTCACCTTTTCATTTGAATTTCACATTTCCGAAAAATTTCATTTGAATTTCAAATTTCGGATAAGATTTTCACCCTATAAAATTGCGCCACGTGTCATGTCTATCGACCTAAATTTTTCTATAAAACTAAGGCTCAGCTCCACAAACCTCTCACACTACATCTTCTCAAAAATTTCATTTCTCAGATTTTAGATTTCATATTTCAGATTCCATATTCCATTCTCAATGTCGGACATGGAGGAGGTCTTGGAGAGGCAAGAGCGAGAAATAAGAGAAAGAAGGCGTAGACGAGCTGCAAGCAAAAGAGCCCAGAGAGATCTAGATCAGCAACTTGTCATGGCTGTGGCTTTGCTTGATGAAGAAAACCAGAGCAGTCGTGGTTCACATGAAGGCCGTGCAGCAAATGTTGACAGACATAGGCATTCTCGGGGTAAGAATCTTATGGAAGATTATTTTATCCCAACATCTCTATACTCTGATGTTCATTTTTGAGGGCGATATAGAATGCAACAACATTTGTTCAATAAAGTCATGCATGATATTTGCAATTATGATGAATACTTTGTGCAAAAGAGAAATTGTGCTGGTGTTTTGGGACTGCTTCCCGAACAAAAGTTCACAGCTGCTATACGAATGTTGGCGTATGGTGCATCTGCTGATCAGGTGGATGAGATTGCCCGGATGGGGAAGTCCACTGCTTTGGAGAGTTTGGTTAGATTTTGCGCTGCAGTCGAAAATCTGTACACCAGGGACTACCTGCGCAGACCTACGCCCATGGACTTGCAACGACTTCTACAGAAGGCCGAACGGAGAGGATTTCCAGGAATGATTGGTAGCATCGACTGCATGCACTGGCAATGGAAGAATTGCCCAACCGCTTGGCAGGGAGATTACGAAAATTGGAAAGGCCAAAAAAGTATCATCCTTGAAGCTGTTGCAGGATTCGATACATGGGTTTGGCACGCCTTCTTCGGAGTTACTGGATTACAAAATGACTTGAACGTCCTAGGTCAATCCCCGGTGTTCAACGATGTTTTGAGAGGAGAAGCCCCGAAAGTCACATATGAAATCAATAATACCGTCTACCAAACTGGGTATTATCTAGCTGACGGCATCTACCCAAGGTGGACAACATTTGTGAAATCAATTCCGCATCCCCGAACCCAGATGGACATTCGACAACAGGGATTAGATACATGCTTGGTTGTTTAAATTGTTCTTCTATGCTTAATGGGTTCCTAATGCTTAATTTTAGGTTAGACAACAAATGATCAAATTAGGGAATTAGGAACACAAGGTTATGACCACACACCATGGCTTAATCATACTTTAGCTAGAATCAATCCATTAATCTAAATTGAACTTGGGAACTTATTTGCTTGAGTTACTTATTTCTTTCTTCCTTGTTTTATGTTCTTTGTTTTTGTTTCTATTTTGTGTAGGGAAACTAAATTGGATCATTCAATCACCAATCCCTGTGGAATCGACCTCGCACTTACATATGCTATACTACCAACGGTTTGTGCACTTGCGAGTATCACAAGTTGAGGATGCAGTTTAATCCATTTTGGTGGAGCTAAATCTACGCAACAATACGATGATGCAATCGTCGTATATTCATGAACGCTGTCAAGTTGACTTAATGGAGCATTTATGGGCGGTGAAAGGCAATGACGGTGAATGAAGTGAAGTGAAGATGTTTTTTAAGATTTTAATGTTTATATTTTATGTTTAGTTATGTTTGGTTTTTTTATGCTTTAGTTGTGGTTCGTTTGTTTTTATATTTTTAATGCTTTGGTTGTGGTTAGTTTTTTAAGTATGGAATGTTTTGAATAAAAAAGAATTTTATTTAATAGTTTCTTTGGTAACTCAAAGAAAACCAATACTACTAATAAAATAAAATACATGAATTACAAGCAAACTAATTAAACAAAACATTAAAATACAATGAAATGAAAAGGCAAGCAAACTAATATGATAGAGAAAAATTAAACTTGAAAGTGAAAAAAATATGGAGTCGAAAATGAAAAAAATATGGAGTAGAAAGTGAATAATAGTTGGAGGAGGAGAAAATGTATGAGGATTTATTGTTAAAAATGAAGAGGATTGATTGGTATTTATAGAAAAAAATTCAGTAATTTTTGGGATTTTTTAAAAAAAATTTCCGAAATTTTTTCATAATTTTTGGCATTGAAAAATTCCTGGGCGTTGGATTGGATGACAAAAGCAATCGGAAGGACCAGAAGCTGCCACGTGGTGTCTGACCCCTGGGCGTTAAAAAAAATTGAATTGCGCCTGCTGACGTCACGCTGGCGTCAGCAGCGCCTTCGGGCCAGCACTCGGGCTGATTCTGCCTTCGGGCCTGCCCAGGCAGGTGGACTCCAGTAGTTGCCCGGGCTAGACTTTGTTGCTGGAAATGGGTTTTAGCGTTTTCCCCCCCCCAGCCCTTGCCCTAGGGGGCTGCTGGAACTGCCCTTAGGGCCTGCCAGGGCTTGTGGAGCTCATGCCTTGCCTGGGCTGTTTTATACTGCTGGAAACTGCTTCTTGGGCCTAGGCCCCCCTTGCTCGGGCTGGGGGGCTCCACTGGAACTGCTCTAAGAGCATTTCCAGCAGTCAAACCCTTGCCATGGCAAGGGGGGGGCTAGGGCTGACCCTATTCATGTGAATAGTGGCTGCCCTTGCCTTTTTTAGCTATGTGTGTTTCCAG